CACACACACACACACACACACACCGAGAGGAGGCTGGAGGGAGGAGGAGAGATTTTTAATTTATTATATTAATTGAATTAATCAGATTTCTTGGCTCCTGGTCGACTGGTGTATTTCAGTTCTGACTCACACACAGCTGGATTAACCTGTCAGCCCCCCCCCCCAGGGAGACTGTTGGGCCCTTGTCCAACACCCCCCACCCCCCAGCACCACCCGCCACCCTTATCTCACTGAGCATGAAATCTGTACATTAATCATCCTGAATATAATAATAAATAATATATTTAATAACCAATAATCAACTACTAAAATACATCCTGGGCAGTGGGGCAGTTACCCCTACCCCGGCTGAGGTATTTGTACACAAACATGCAGGAGCAGAGGTAAAGAGGGGGCAGGTGTGTGTGATGCTAACTAACTCACAGACGTGTGTACAGTGACATCATCAGCTCTCTGGGCTGTGATTGGTTTCCTGCTGTAACGCTGTGATTCTTTGTGTCTGTATTTGTGTAAAACGGATGTTGTTGGTTTTTGTTAATTAGTTTAGAGTCAGTGTGGCAGATGGTGTGTGTGTGCGTGTGCGTGCGTGCGTGCGTGTGTGTGTGTGTGTTGTAGTCTGACACTTTGATGCGACAAAACATCTGGAGATGTACAGACTTTAGTTTGTACAGTATATATATATCTATATAGTGGGTATATGGGTGTGTGTGTGTGTGTGTGTGTGTGTGTGTGTGTGTGTGTGTGTGTGTGTGTCAGCTGCTCCTGTCTTGTTAGCATCAATCTGCTCGGCTCATAAATAACATTAAATCCAGCAGTTGTTTCTCATTAATATTTTCTGACTGGATCAGTCCACAGTACGAAGGAGGGAGGTTGGCAGTATTGATCAGTATTGATCAGTATTGATCAGTATTGATCAGTATTGGTTATTAATAGGTTGAACCCTGGGCTCAAACCTTTAGAATACGTTCTATCACCTGCAGCAACAATCGACTTCAACATGTTTCATGTGAACAGACCTGACCTCAGATCAGGAAACGTTCTCCTCTGTGACACCATCATGTGTTTTCTGATATGAGATACCACAAAAACTAAACACTGAGCAGAACCCACTAGAACCCCCCAGTTCACGAGTATAAAGGGTTCCTTCCTTTCCTGGGAACAAAGTGTTCTCCAGATATTCAAGATAAATATCACCTGACTTTTCACCTGGAGAATCACACCAGTGGTGTGTGATTACTATAGACTGACAGTTAGCAGCTAGTTAGCTTAAACTGGCAGTTAGCTGCTAGCTAGCTTAGACTGGTAACAGCTTAGACTGGCAGTTAGCTGCTAGTTAGGTTAAAGTGGCAGTTAGCTGCTAGCTAGCTTAGACTGGTAACAGCTTAGACTGGCAGTTAGCTGCTAGTTAGGTTAAAGTGGCAGTTAGCTGCTAGCTAGCTTAGACTGGTAACAGCTTAGACTGGCAGTTAGCTGCTGTGTAGACTGGTAACATGATCTGCTGTGTGTCTGTGGGTTGGTGGGTCTGTGTGACCTGATAGTGTCAGGTCCTGTGAGTGAGGCTCTGCTCTGTAGAGCCTTCAGTAGACAGGACAGTGACAGAGAGAAGGGGAATGAATGACATGCAGCAGAGTTCGGCCGGGTACGCTCTGACCATTCAGCTGTGGGGTTTCCTCAGTTAATATGTGTTTGTGATACTTATTCAGTGGTCGTGCACGGCAGCTAGCGGCTCGTTAGTAGCTCTGAAGTAGGTCTAACTGTAAGTATTGCAGGTTGTAGACAGATCAGCCGACACTGGGAGAGAGAGGGTCCAGACTGAGGAGTGATTCTCTGGGAACCATCGGTGTCTGTGTGGCTGCTGCTGATCCACGTCACTGCCCAGTCCTCCGTCTCCATGTGAAGCATGTTGAAGAGAAGGAACCAGAGGAGGTGCTGCAGCTGATACCAGCTACATCTGCAGTCCTGTTATAATTATATTATTAACAAATATTCAGTCAAGAGAAAAGTCTGTGACCATCATCATCATCATCATCCTCCTGTGTTTGAATGTGGTGAACTGAACTTCACTCTCCTCCAGGTCTCTGCTCTCCTCCTCTGTTGTTCTTTTCATCCCTCCATCGCTCCTGTCAGCTTCTCCAAACTGAAAGCTTTTATTTCAGTCAGCTCAGAGGTTACAGAAACACTTTGCTGTCCCCAGAGGAGAGAAGATGAGCAGCCTCATATATTTTTAAATTCTGTTAGAAAACAACTTTCATCTGCAGAGCAGCTGTGACACAAGCTGCAGTGATAGATTGTAAAACTCATTTTCATGGTGTGAGGAACCTCTGAGAGAGACTCTCTGCAGCTCACACTTTTATATAAGAACGTGTTGCTGTGAAGAATCATGGTGAAAATGAAAGATGCATCTCTCTGATTGTGTGTCTTTTTACATACATGACTCCAAATCAACCACTTTCAATCATCTAGTGTCAGAAATGTGTAGATGAAGAAGGAATACACCGATCATTTCATCTGCAAGATTGGCTCGACAGGTTCTTCAAAGTATGAAGATCTTTATATATTTGGAATAATTAGGATTCTTTATATGATGAAGTCTAATGACTGAGAATGTGGAGCACCTCCAGTTAACCCTTTGAGACCTGAGTCTCCCTCTGAAACCTCAAGACTGTTTAAACAGCCTAACACCTTCATCTCTCAGCCTCTGAAGCAGAAATAAAAACCATCTGAGACCTCAAACTGTTCACGGCTGAAAACGAAGCACAATTTTCAACATTCTCAGTTCGGTTCAACTTGTTTAACATTTAATGTTTTTTTTTTTTTAATGTTGATGAACATGAGGGTGAAGACAGTGATTGATAATAAAAGTCAGAGGTTTAAGGTCTCTTTTTATTTCATGTCTCTACCTGCTTCAGAGGCTGAGAGATAAAGGTTTTAGTGACAGCATCGCTTCAGGTGAATCTTTACCTCTGGTTAGCAGTGATACCAGCGGCACCTCCTCCTCCTCCTCCTCCTCCTCCTCCTCACCCTGAGCCTTGACTAGCTGGTGAGCAGCAGGAAGTCGGTCGTTGTCTTTGTTGTTTTCATCCAGGTAACTGCTGTGCGTCAGACATCGTCTGAACCGTGACTTTAAAAATGTTTTAAAACCTCAGAAAAAACAAACAAAATACGATTCCCATAATGCATTTCACCACAAAAGGTCCAATGAATCCACAGTATATATGAAAAGTAAATACACAGTATACATGAAACATTTCCTCAGGGTTAGTTTGTCTAAATCTCTGCTTCCTGTTTTATTTGATGACATCACCGACCCTGCTGAGGCTGAACGCTTCCACGCCGCCTGCAGCTCACTCTCAGCCGATCAGCAGCCTGTGTGATTGGCTGAGTGCAGAGTGTAATCTGTGTGTCACAGAGCTGTGGATTACCTTCAGGGCTACAATAGAGGAGAAGCAGCCGGCAGCACCTCGGCCTCAGGACAGCCCCCTGGCTCCATGGGATCACCCCCCCTCCCTAATTCCCCCACAGCCGTAGAAATGGCTCCAGCTATCAGTGAGCTGCAGACTGGGCTCGTTATCAACCCAACCAACTCTGTGACAACTGAGCCGACTCCTCTGAGTGATGAAGACTGGGAAATGTGGTTGAAAGCCAGAAAAAAAGATAATAAGTGGCCCTTTGTCAAACTTCAAAGTAGTATTTCTGTTTTTTCTGCTCTTGATTCCTTTTCTTTCATATGGCGCTTCAGCAGTAACACACACACACACACACACACACACACACACACACACACACACACACACACACACACACCACTGATACCTTCAGACTTTTCTTCTGTATCTGATGATCGGATGTAGTTCGTTCTTTGTTGGGTTGATGATGTTACTGACCTCTGATGTGGAAGCGAACAGTTATAGCATATATTGCCAAACATCCATCCTTGCACCTGAGTCTGATTGTGGTGGCAGGAGGCTTATGGATGAAGTCCAGACCTCCTCCTGCTTCCTGGCCCTGCCCTCCAGCTGCTCCTGGAGAACCCTGAGGTGTTCCCAGGTCAGACGGGCTAATCTCTCCATTGTGTTGAGGATCTGCCGCAGGATGTGTCAGGATTAACAGCTGAAGAAGATGTCCAGGTGGCATCCTGTTCAGACACCTGAGCCCTGTCGACCCTCTGCCTGTGCAGTTCTGCTCCTCAGCCTGTTGGACTGAGTCCAGACCCTGGACCATGGGTGAGGGTCGGGACGTAGACTGGCTGGAGCAGTCCAGTACAGAATCAGCTTTACTGCAGATCCACCTGCCCCCCCTCTTATCATCAGTGAGTGATACCTCAACTTACCTGGACCCCTTCTCTCAGTGACTCCTGAAGTTCTTCCTGGCAGGTCACCATGGTTTCGGTTACAAAAGAAACTGGAGTTTGTTTGATGCAAATTTTTCTACAGCTCAGACACACATCGGACATCAGTCCCTGTCCTGAACACACGCATCAGGCCTGAGTCCCTGTCCTGAACACACGCATCAGGCCTGAGTCCCTGTCCTGAACACACGCATCAGGCCTGAGTCCCTGTCCTGAACACACGCATCCGGCCTGAGTCCCTGTCCTGAACACACGCATCAGGCCTGAGTCCCTGTCCTGAACACACACATCAGACCTGAGTCCGTTTCCCATGAATTTAGTCATCATTACACCCCCCCAACATCCAGTCAGAGCAGTCAACAAAAAACCTGACATTTGGAAAAAATAAATAATCACTGTGTATTAATAAAGTAAGAGCTGCATCTGCTCTCCCTCTCTCCCCCTCTCCCTCTCTCCCCCTCTCCCCCTCCCTTTCTTTCTCTCTTCCTTTCTCTCTCTTCATGTAATTAGAGCAAGTCAGTCATCGTTTCTGACATCCACAACTAATTACCATGTCACTGTGCTTGTTTGGATTAGTGGCACCGCACTGTGTGTGTGTGTGTGTGTGTTTAGTCTCTGTTCTAATTGTTTTCTCTGCTGTTCTCTGTCTCAGGTCTGATCACCACGACCTCCAGGAAACTGGACCGAGAGCAACAAACAGAGCATGTTCTGGAGGTGAGGAGTGTGTGTGTGTGTGTGTGTATATGTCTGTGTGTGTGTGTGTGTGTGTGTGTGTGTGTGTGAGTGTGTGTGTGTGTCTGTGTGTGAGTGTGTGTGTGTGTGGGGACAGGACACTAGAACATTTTGTTGAACAGAATCAATTAAAAAAAAAAAGTTTTTACTTCTCAAACAGAAATATGTTGAAGTATTGATTTCTATATTACTGAAGATCTCAGACATCATATCAACATAAGCACTGAAAACTGTGAAACAAATGGTCCTGATCCTGATCCTGGTCCTGGTCCTAGACCTGATCCTAGACCTGATCCTGATCCTGGTCCTGGTCCTGGATCTGAACTGAGGACTCACAGAGACCCTGAGCTCTGTCCTGTGGTAATGAGAGGAACACACTGACAGGGGCCAGTGTTTGTGCTCCAATACAGGGAATAAATCACCTGACACACACACACACACACACACACACACACACACACACACACACACACACACACACACACACACACACACACCACAGTGTGCTGGTCTTTATTAGACTGTAATGGGAACCTGTCTCCACTCTTCTCTGCTCTGATTGGAGATAAATTGTGCTGCTGTTTTTCTCATGACCAGTTCACTCTGTGTCTGTGTGTGTGTGTGTGTGTGTGTGTGTGGTTGAACGCAGACTGTGTTATATGTTGAATTTATTTCCACATGTCTGGAGGTTTTGATCTTTCTACAGGACTGAGGATCAGATGCTGGTTCAGGTCTGGATCTGAGGATGTGCAGCCTTACATTATCAGATTAGTTGCAGATTTTACATGTTGAGGAGGAGCACCTGAATGCACCATTTACTGAGGGTCCTCTGGAGGTTCTGGTCCTAAAACTGGAACGTCCTCTCACTGTGTTGTGGTCCTGCAGGTTCTGGTGTCAGACGGCGGTCCCAGTCCCAGACAGAGCACGGTCTGGGTGATGGTCCAGGTCCTGGACGAGAACGACAACAAGCCCACGTTCCCAGAGAAGGTGTACCAGGTCAAACTTCCGGAGAGAGAGCGGAGGAAGAAGAGCGAGCCCATCTACCGGGTGTTCGCCTACGACCGTGACGACGGGCCCAACAGCGACCTCTCCTACAGCATCGTCGACGGCAACGAGGATGGGAAGTTCTTCATCGACCCCAAGACGGCGGTGGTGTCGTCACGCAAGGCGTTCACAGCAGGGAGCTACGATATCCTGACCGTGCGCAAACCCTCAGCACTTTTTACTTCTGCCCTGATACTGACTTCTCAGTCTGCTGACCTCTGACCTCTGACCTCTCCTCAGGTCAAAGCCACAGATAACGGGCGTCCTCAGAAGTCGTCCACAGCTCGCCTCCACATCGAGTGGATCCGCCGCCCCCCTCCCTCCGCTCTCCCGCTGCTCTTCGACGAGCCGTTCTACAACTTCACAGTCATGGAGAACGACAAGGTGGCTGAGATCGTGGGCGTGGTGTCCCTGCAGCAGAGCTCCGCCCCCCTGTGGTTTGACGTCACAGGTAAAGCCCACCTATCGGTGTGGAGGCTGTGTGTGTGTGTGTGAGCAGCGCGGTGCATGGTGTGTGTTGGGCTGACAGTGTTGGTGTGTGTTGGTGTATATGAGGTGCAGCTCAGGTACTGTGGCCTCGCTGCATGATCTGTTCTGCTCCGCCCATCCCAGTCACCATGGCGACAGCTTCTCCAGCTGCCAGGTCGTGTAGGTCAGTGTTTCTCCAATTTTTTCAGACCAAGGACTTAACCACTAAAATAAAACTCACGGAGCACCTGCCCCCCGAACATCCCCAGAAGCTACAGGTCTATTATTGTAGTAGGACTGTCACTGGGACAGGTGTTTTATTTTGATAGGACAGTGAAAAGAGACAGGAAATGAGGGGGAACAGCATCCTGTAAACTGTCCGACCAATCGGGAGTCGAACCAGGTTTTCGCAACTCAATCGATGATCAATTTATGTAGCGTCAACATTTTCACACCCGTACGCACACACACGAACGGTGGCCGGATGTCATCAAACGCAACACGAGTCTCAGTCGTGGTGATGACATCACTATTAAAACTTCACTGCGCTGAAACCCCAAGAATCAGGAGATTTCCTTCTTAGGTTCTTGCAAGGATGTGGATCGTATCTGGAGACGTTCTGATGTGACATCTGACCGTGCTGTGATTGGAGCATGTCCAGATTGCATCATATATGGCAGGGGTGTCACGGGTATGCAGTGTGAAAAGCCGCTGCAGGGAAGCTAAGCTAGCATGTTTCACAGTCTGATTACTCTTGACTCTCTTCACACTGAACAGTGACAGTTTCTTGGCAAATGAGACACACGACAATTTTGGTTTTCAGTGAAAAATATTTGACTTCTCCACCGCCCCTCGCCGCCGACTTTACGCTTCCTCGCTGTGGCGGCCACCTAGCAGAAAATGTCTGTTGCCTGTTTATGAAAGTAAAGTCAACATGCTTCATTACCAATCACCAATCACTATGGGCCGGACACGCCGTTTATTCTGAGAGACAAGCCGTTTAAAATCACGACCGGCCCGTGGGCCGGACTTTGGACACGCCTGATAGGTGTTTGATTCTGGGGATGTTGCTCAGTGATTTAGTTTGAGGTGTCACGCTGATCATTCCTGATCAGAACATAAAGTGCAAACGGTCGAAGTGACGTGAGTCACAAGAGCTGATTTAATATGGAAACATACACACTCCTCTCTACAGACTCTGTGGTCACTCACACTTTGAGAAACATTAGATCTAAAACATGAGACCACCAGGCGTCACTGCGGACCCCTGGTGGTCCACAGACCACACTTTGCTGTAGAGGAGCGATGTGGACTGAGTTCAGATAAACAGACTCTCTCAGTGAGCATTAAACAGACGTTTTTAGCTCCTTCATAAAGGCCTGAGCTCAGAGGAGGATCTGACTCGTCCTCTGACACATCTTAAAGCCACTGTGACGTTCGCCTGTTAGTGGGAAATGCCCAACATGGCGCTCTTAAATCCCTTTGATCCGTCAAAGTTCACTTTCACCCACTTGAAAGGCTTAACCAGATTATGTCACGCCCGGCGCTCTAAGCTCCGTTTATTCTCTTTGTGTTGGGAGACGTTCTGGTCGGAGGAAAGTGATTTCATAATTCTAATCATCAGACTGATTCTAAATTATATTAACTTTTTAAAGCCGTTCAGAGTCACGTGTGACACGACCTCGGGCCGGACGCTCTGCGGCCTCAGAGCTGCACAGAGCAGACGGCCAACGGCAGGAAAGACTCAGGTTCCCACAATGCACCATCCATCTTTCCTTTGTTGTCACTGAGCAGTGACAGTCAGTGTGTATCAGCTGGAGATACCTTCAGGCTCGTGCTTCTGGCTCTCCATGGCTCTCTCTGCCTCTCTCTCTCTGCCTCTCTCTCTCTTTATGTCTCATCCTTTCTCTGGGGTCACAGCTGTTCTTCTTTCTCAGATATTTTCTCAATCAATCAATCAATAGATGAATTGATCCTGAGACAGTTTAATGTTCCAGACAGAACCAACAGTAAAACCTGCAGGTCAAAGTCGATAAGGAATATATATTTAGATATACATTTGTATTTATCAATCAGTCACATTCATAAGTGATTAGATGTTTACAAAAGTCTCATTGTAACATTAATCATCAGAGGCCGCAGCAGTAAAACATCAACACCAGAATAAAATATCAAGTGATTCATGTTTCATCACGTTAAAGAGACTAAAGGAATCAAACCTGTGAGGTGTGACCAGTGTCCAATCACAAGAAACACTTTACCGTCAGAACCAGCTTCTGAAAACAACACGTCACATTTGTTCAGTCGTTTATATGATGAAAAGTCAAAAATGTAAATAATTAAATGTCTATAAAATCTTATCTGTTAGTTTGAATCCACAAATATCAGCATCAGTGTTTGAAGCGACTGAAACATCTGATCAAACATCGTCGCTCAGTTTCATCGACTGATGTTCAAACAGTCGGAGGTTCAGCTCATCAGAAGCAGTTGCTGTCTCTGTCTCCTCCCCCTCCTCCTCCTCCTCGAGCCTGTCTGTCCCTCCTGTCTCACCTTCTCTCTCCTCTCTCTCCTCAATGCTTCATGCCTGGAAGGTCCCAGGTCTTTCCGTGAGATGTTCTATATTCTGCAGAGCGCTTGTGGCAGGAACTGTTCCTCAGAAGGTATCTCACTCCCGCTCTTTGCTCCTCCCACTTCCTGTCCTTTTGTTTCCTTCTTTTTTTCTTTTCCTCGTCTCTTTTGTTGCATCATTGTCCGTCCACCCCTGTGCTTCTCCTCGGTGCTGCTGACGTGTGTGTGTGTGTGTGTGTGTGTGTGTGTGTGTGTGTGTGTGTGTGTGTGTGTGTGTGTTTCACATTAATGCACCACCTTGCTTAATTGAAGCGATGAAGGTTTGGTAAGAAAAAAAGGTATCAAAACCTTTTCATCTGCTCCCATGCCAAGGTTACCTGGGTGACAGCTCTGTCTAATGACCTGCTGTAAGCATCACCTGTACACACACACACACACACACACACACACACACACACACACACACACACACACACACACAC